AATGGCAGATTAATATGTACTAACTAGGAAGAAGTTATAAGAACATGCAGGTAAATATATGTATTGGATATATACTACTCTGTTAGGTTTATCTTCAAGGATAGATTAGCCATATATTAGTGCTGGGAAATTGGACAGTTTTGGTCTTGGACACCTTGTCCAAAACCTGTTCAAAACCTTGTCCAAAACTGAAACTAAATTTAATTGGTTTTGGACAAAATTATATATATAGAAAATTGATAATGCCACACCCTTTTCAAATTTTTAGAATTTTTTTTAACTTTGATCAAAGATATCTTGACACCCACCTGACCAAATTCATTCAAAATTTTTTTTTAAATTTTACAGCTTTCTATAATTAAAATAAAAAAAATTTGGTCAAGTAGTTGCTGAGATACTTCAATCAAAGTTTTATAAAATTTTAAACATCTCAAATATATGCTGTAGCAAAAATTGTTTTTAAACTTTGATCGAAGATATATCAGCACCCACCTGATCTAATTTGATCAACTTTTTTTTTATTTTAATTATGAAAGCCTTAGAATTTAAGAAAAAAAAGTTGATCGAATTTAGTCAGGTGGGTGCCAAGATATATTCAGTCAAAGTTTTTGTAAAATTCTAAACATCTATCAAATATAATCTGTAGCAAAAATTGTTTACAAACTTTGATCAAAATATCTTAGTACTTATCTGACTGAATTCATTCAACTTTTTTTTGGTTTAATTATAGAAACCTATAGAATTCAAAGAAAAAAAGTTGATCGAATTTGGTCAGGTAAGTGTCAAGATATCTTTGATCAAAGAGTTTGTAAAATTCTAAATGTCTATCAAATATAAGCTGTAGCAAAAGTTGTTTCTAAACTTTGATCGAAGTTATCTCAGCATTCATCTGACCAAATTTGATCATCTTTTTTTTATTTTAATTATAGAAAGCTGCAGAATTTAAAGAAAAAAGTTGGTCAAATTTGGTCAGGTGGGTGTCTATATATCTTCGATCAAAGAGTTTTATAAAATTCTAAATATTTATCAAATATAAGTTGTAGCAAAAGTTATTTACAAACTTTGATTAAGGTATCTTAGCACTATCTAACCAAATTCAATCAACTTTTTTTTCTTTAAATTTTGTAGCTTTCTATAATTAAAATAAAAAAAGTTGAGTGAATTTGGGCAGGTAGATGCTGAGTTATCTTAGATCAAAGTTTTTAGTTTATAAAATTCTAAATTTTATCAATATAAGTTGTAGCAAAAATTGTTTACAAATTTTGATCAAAGATATCACAGCACCCACCTGACAACTTTTTTTATTTTAATTACTGAAAGCCGTATAATTCAAAGAAAAAAAGTAAATCAAATTTGGTTAGATAGATACCAAGATATTTTCAATTAAAGTTAAAAAAAATTTAAAAAATATTTTAAATAGTTTTGGACAGTTTTGGACAATTTTAGACAGTTTTGGACAGTTTTGAACATGTCCAAAACTGTCTAATTAAATTTTTTAATTTGATATGTCTAATTTCCAGCACTGCCATATATAATTAGTAAGTCTTAATAATAGGGATTGATAAATCCAAATTGTAGCTAGTAAGTTCTAAGGTAGGGTGCAAAATCCACAATGGGTAAATCCAAATCCATAAATATATAGTAAGGAACACCCAGAGTTAAAGAGCTGATGGAGGTAGTTAGAACTAAATAGTTTAAATAAATACTCTCCTAGTTGGGATGTAAGTACAGCAAATAGTGTAGAACTTTTGAGCAGACTACTTAAATTAGATACTTAAAAGATGCACATGTGGCTTGATGTACCATCATTGTAATTACATTATAAAACTTTGTCTATACTTTAATAAAAAGTCGCTAGGCCAAAGAAGGTTATCTTAACACCAAAAAAAAAAAAATTCTTATATAATATATTGCTAATATATAGTCAATCCTCTCTAAATACATAGCATCAGAATCATAGTAAAAAAATTTAAAAACATGTATTTAAAGAGGTTATGCATTTAGAAAAGTAAAAATCTATAAGTGTTATATTAAGTTGGGCCAAAAAAAAGACATGTATTTAAAGAGATTTTACATAAATATACATTTAGGAAGAATGTATTTAGAGAGGTCTGACTGTAGTAAATTATCAAATATCATTTGAATATTAAATAAATTTTCAATATATTGTCTTTACATATATTTATATGATATATTACTCATTTAAAATAACATTTTAGATGTGAGGTGTGATGACTTAGTGTAGTAGTCTAGTTGTCACTCTCTCCAAGTAACAGGTCTAGAGTTCGAATTCCACTAGTGACAATTTTGAAAAATGAGTCTATATATAGTTGATAGTGATCTATAGGTTAGATTTAAGATTAATCTGTAACTATAGTTACACTATCTAGTAATAAAAGCTTCAGCACAATAAATCTAGAGGATTAGAAAAGCTAAAAACCTGTTTGGCAAGTCCTGAGTTTGGAGATAGCAGTGGTCTTTGACAATACTACAGGAGGGTTAAATTCAGACTGGAAACTAAGATTGAAGAACCGAGCAACCAGATTCTAAATAGTAGAGGACATACTAACCAAAATTGCTGGGTTGTCACACCAAAGAAAAAGGTCATATGCTTTGAAAGTATAGACCAAGAAAAGGGTATCATTCAGGTATCTAAAGCCAGAGCAGACCAACTCTTTGGGTTGCTAGCTGGAAATAAAAGAAAGACCAATAAAGAATTCAGATAAAAAGATAGACCAAATAGGTATCAAGGTTGTTGTAAACTAAATAAAAGCAAGAAGTAAGTAATATGCACCTAGTTAAAAAGATTAGTGCTTGAGAAATGTCCATAGAATGGCAGCACTTTAAAAGGTGGTGTGAGATATAAATAGAAAATAGCAAGTTAATATATACTAATTAGAAAGAAGTTATAGAAACATGCAGATAAATATATATATATATAACATATACTGCTCTGTTAGGTTTACCTTGAGAATAGACTAGCCCAAATATTGGAGTTAATAAGTTCTAAAGATAAGATGCTGAAATTCATGTAAGTAGATACCAAAATTCACTTCTATATAATGAGAAATACTCAGAGTTAGAGAGTAGATGGTGGCAGTTGTAACCAGATAGTTTAAATAGATACTCTATAGTTGAGGTACAGGTATAGCAAATTTATTTATATAATTGGTTAATTTTTTTGTAAATCTACCTGTGAATTTTCATGATAATTAGCTAATTAAAATATATAATAGTTTTTAAAAAGATTTATTATTTTGAAAATGAAAAGAACTTCACATAAAGAAGTTTACAAACTAATAAATATATATAAAAAAGAATTTGTTATATTTTAAAAATAGATAACTATAAATTGATATTCATTATTAATAAACCCAAGCTTCAAATCGATTAAAATTTCAATAGTAAATAAATTATTAATAAAGCTATCTTTTATTCTACTATATATTTTGAAAAATAATTCTATATTATTTTTAATTATCACAACCTTTATTAAAAATGCAACATAACTCTTTGCTCATGTAATTAATGAAACAATAATTATTTATAACACTTATACATATTATCAACCTGTTACTTAACCCAAAATTATATTTATTACTCTAGTAGTATAGCTCTATAAATATAAAATATACTGTAAACATTAGTACAAGCTTATTATTATTATAATATATATTATATTAAACAGTATACTCAAAGTTCTAAGTTTAAAGCTTACATGTAATATCTCAATCTTTTTTTTTATTGACTATTTTTGGCATTTAAAACTTGTATATAGTTAATATAGCCAATATTAGCAGCATATAGTAAAAATATTTGCTTCTAAATAAAGTTTTTAGAAAAGTGAATTATTTTAAATTAATTTTAACAGTAAATATCTATATTTGTTTAGAGCTAGAATTTGTTTTTACAATAGTTTTTTTGTTAGTGAAATAATATGTTTTCAAAAAGTACTTTAAAGTGTATAAATAAGTTATTTGGGCAATTGATTTATATTAGCCAATCTGATAAAAATCATCTTATGAATAGCAGATAGTGTGAAGCTCTTAGTATAGCACTAATGCCTTGGGTAAACCACTTAAATTAGGCACCAAAAGTGCATGTGTGGCTTGATGTATCATCATTGTAATTGCAATATAAAACATTGTTTAGATTCTAATAAAAAAGTTCTAGGCCAAAAAGGTTACCTTAATATCAAAAAAAAATAATAATGACATTTTAGATGATAATTATTTATTTACTAATTACTTAATAATTAGTTTGTTGTTTTTAGAGAATAAAAAGCTGATATGTTTAATCTAGTTAATATTATATATAATATATTGGCTAACTAATAATATAAAAATATTAAACAATAGTTTACTGTTTAATATATTATTAACTGATATGATTATTATATAATTTGATTTTATATTTATAAATTTATCATTTATAAATACAATTTTAAAAACTTAAAATAAAATATTACTGTATAATTAATATTTAATTATTACTTTTATAACTTTTTCTTTTTTTACTTTTACTACTTTTTTTTACTTTTTTTTTTTTACTTTCACTTTCTTTTCTTCTACTCTTACTTTCACTCACTTTTTTTCTATTCTTTCCTTCACTCTTCCTTTTTTATCTTTACTATCACTATTACTACTCTAGTGTCTTTTAAAAATATTGCTGTTGCTATATTGTTGTTGCTGTTAATGCAGTTGTTCTTGCTGCTATTTGTTTTATCGTTTTTGTTGTAGTTGTTATTGTAGCTATTTGTTTTGCTGTTGTTGTTGTTGGTATTGCTGTTTTTGTTGTTGTTGCTGCTATAGTTGCTACTAATACAGCCATTCCTCTGGCTGCAGATTAAATATTTTTTTCTTTTTCTTTTTCTTTTTTGGTTTGTTCTTTTTCTCTATTCTTTTTACTTTTTTTTTTGTATAATACAGCTCTATTATCATTACCACCTACTCTTTCTTTCTTTTTAGTTCTTTTACTTAGAACCCAAAACTCTCTCACAATTATGTTTTTATCCATGTCTGCCTTTTTTTATCTTTATGCGAATCTTCATCTCCAGTATCAAAGTCTAAATCAAATTTGTGTTTTAAACAGTTGTATCTAGTTATAGCTTTATCAGATAATGCCTATTTACACAAAGGCAATTATACTTCAATCTATTAATTTATAATTATAACTTAAGTCTATTAGATATTATTATTAATTTATATAAAAATTGATATTTTATATATTTTAAATTATATTAACTTATCATAAAGGTGTAAAATCATCTTTAAATTTTTACTAATTACTTATATAAAGTCAAAGAATAAAACCATGGTTCTATTTTTTTTGTTAATATATAAATATTGAATATTTACTTTATAGAATACTTGAAAATTTATTAATTAGAATAAAAAAATTATCTTAAAAAAAAAAATTAGAAAAATAAGTATATTATTTATATAATACTTTTAGAATTCTGTGCTTTTCTTTATAATTAAAGTAAAATTATATTTAATTAATTATTTTAATTTTACTAAAAAAATCTGATTATAATAAAATAATTAATATAGCTAATATAGTTTTGATTAATTAGTCTATATAATATTTTAATATATGATACATTATGATGTTTAAGTACAAATATTCGAGATTTTGTAGATATATTACTAAAAATATTTATAACTCATATACTATATAATATGCATCATATTATTTCTAGTAAATTAGATATTTAGACTTATTGGCTTGATAGCTTTCAAAATTTTTTATTTATAATAATTGTAGCAATATGATCAAATTTACAGAAAAATTTTTATATTAATATGCAAGAAAAATTATTAAATTATTTTTAAAAAAAATTTTAATTTATATATAAATTTGTTCTAATACTCTAACTAATCTACAACTTTTAAAAAATTTATTATTGATTGACCTTATATATGATTAATTATAATATTAGATATCCTAATATATTCTAATTTTTAAATCAAATAATTCAACATGAAAATGTATTTTTAATATTAATATATCTACAATATGCAAAATATAAAGTTAAATAAATATTAGAAGACTGGACTAGTTGGTACCCCATGCACTTTGTGCCTCTCTATTATAAAATCGTTAATATCTCAAAATTTTACTAGGGTAATCCTGTTTTGCGACTAAGTAAAAATGTTCCTCTCACAATTTTACACTAAAAACTAACCCTAATCTAACCCTAACTAACCCCTAACTAACCCTAAACTAACTCTAACCTAACCCTAACCTAACTCTAACCTAACTCTAACCTAAAATCATAAAATTGCTAATATTTTAAAATTTTACTAAGATAACCCTCTATTGTGTAACTAAGCAAAAATGTTCCTCTCACAATTTTATATATTTTTGCTAA